AGCGAGTGATTGTTTTTGGCAAAATTAATTTAATGGAACTTCAATTATTCAATAGTCTGCACAAAAAGATTACTAAACTAAATCTCCAAAAAGGCCAAGTTGTCAATATTTATCTTTGCGGCCCCACCGTTTATGACTATATCCATATTGGTAATTTACGCTCAGTGCTAATTTTTGATGTTTTACATCGTTTATTATTACATCTAAATATTAAAGTTAATTACGTTCAAAACATTACTGATATTGATGATAAAATAATTGCTAAAGCCCGAAAAGAAAAAAGGACTGAAAAATCAATCAGTGATTATTATACACAATCCTATTTTGATAATCTGGCTCTTTATAATATTCTTTTACCTACCCATTCACCACGAGTAACTAATTACATTCCCCAGGTTCAAGAGTTTATTAAAAATTTGTTGGAAAAAGGCACCGCTTACCAGCAAGCAGGAGAAGTTTTTTTTAGAGTTGGAAAAAGCCAAGAATACAGTAAACTTTCCGGACAAAACCTCGAAAAATTAAAGAGCGGGCAGGAAGTAGTCCCAGAAAATAAAGAAAATAGCAAGGACTTTGCGCTTTGAAAAAAAACGGTGGAGGGAATTACTTGAAACTCGCCTTGGGGAGCAGGAAGACCCGGTTGACACACTGAGTGTGCCGCCTTTATTCAGGAATTTTTTCACGGCCGAACCATTGATATTCATGGAGGCGGGAATGACTTATTATTTCCCCATCACGAAAATGAAAGAATTCAATATTTGGCTCACAATAATCGAGAATTGAGTAATATTTGATTGCATGTTGCCCATCTTCACTGAAAGGAAGAGAAAATGTCAAAATCTTTAGGTAATGTCATTTTGGCAGAACATTTTGCTCAAAAATATGACCCTAATGCTTTGCGTTATTTAATTTTAAACAGCCATTATAATCAAGTAATTAATCTTAGCGAAGAGTTAATTCAACAAGCAACTGATTACCTTCAAAAAATTAAAAACTTACTCAAAAAGCTGAATTTTTATTTATACACTGAGCAAATAAAAATTACTAAGCAAAAAGCACCAAAAGGGGGAAAAATAATTGATAGTTTGCTGGACAATCTTAATACTATTAAGGCTCTTTTTTTTTTGGAGCAGTCCATCAATTTACTCAATAAAAGTATTGACA